TGAGGATCGAAGTCAAGAATAAAGCTAAGCCATTAAAGATTCTAGGTTTTGCTCCAGGGGTCTATCAGTGACTCTGCTGCAGTCTCTGTGGCCTCAAATTTAATAACAGTATATAATACATTAATGCTAATAATATTTAAATAATAAATAAATAGAATTTTGTCTCAGAAATATACAGTATGTGACAATATTATTGACATGCCTAAATAATTACAAACTGTCATTCTTAAAAATATGTGGCATTTTCATTTGTTCTCATTCCCCAGAAATCTCGTCGTAGCCTTTAACCATGTGTGTTTCCGTAGGGTTTAAATAAGAGGTTGCACACTAGTAAGATCAGTTTATCAGTTTATTGTCCATTACCATGGGGAAAAAACAAAATAACTTGCAACACAAAAGAGATGGATGTTGGCCTACACAAATCAGGTAAAAGATATAAAAAAAAAATACGTAAGCAGTTAAAATTCCATTAAACACAAATAGAGCCATAACAAGAAGTTTCACATGTTTGAAGCAGTAGGAAATTTGCTTTGGAAATTTCATTTGGTTAAAAGACGATGTCTATACTTAAGCATGAATTTCACATTACGAAGTTGCATCTCTACCAAAATCTGCCAAAGCATTAGTAATAATGTTCCGAACTGCTCCAGCTGCACCCCCTAATAAACCACCGAGCGCTGCACCAACCGCTGCTCCTATGGCCATACCCGGAAACCCCAACGCCACCGCTAACACTGCCCCTGCAAACACTCCTTTTCCTATCGCTGCTGCATAATCGACAAGTCTGAGCGTAAAGCCGAGTCTGTCTGCGATCTGCACCTCTGCCTTTTCCCTGTTCTCTAACTGGATCTTTTCTTCATAACGGTTCACTTCGCTTTCCAGATCTTCCTGAGAATGCTTCTTCTTCAGTTCCTCCAACATTGCACTGACCTCCTTCCTTCTCTGATTTTGTATGATTTTTTCTTCGGTCTTGATTCGTTTATCAGCATCTTTAAACTCCAGGTTGGAAAAAATCCCATGTTTTGCCACCATCTCTTCTATTTTCTCAAACAATTTCCTCGTCACATTCTCCTCATTCCTGTTCTCCTTACCACTGAAGACGAGATATCTTTGACCGCATTTCTCAAGAAGCTCCCTGAAGTGCTTATTCTTCTTCACACTGTCTTCTAATGACTGCCTCCACTGCTCTTCTTCATGGTACAAAACGATCATTGTGTTGTTCAAGATATGTTCTC